CATTACGTAGGTGTACACTGGTAGAATTTTGAACACACTTCTGTACAAAAAAATGCCATCAGACACTTGGCGAATGTCGTTTGAAATTCGGTTTGATTTTTGTTTGGATTTAACATTCGATTTTGGATTGAATGGCGTTTCCTGAGTGAAAAGCACATTCACTGTTGGAATTTTTTTCTCTTTTGAACAAAATTCTAACATGCTTCTTCGACTTTTTCCATCGGTGTGATCAAAATTGATCATCGACCATCAACTATTAGAAAGTCGAACGAACGTTCTGAAATCGATTGTTTCACATTCTACCCATGTAAACCCAGCTTATGTCTGCAAACACTAGTTACTAGGGATGCACCGATACTGTTTTTTTGGTATCGAGTATGAGTACCGATATTTTGCTTTCGGTACTCACCCATATGAGTACTGACACCAGTACTTCTGCTGGCATGGAGCTGGCTTCCCGGGTAATCAGGAAACCGGGCGGCATGTCATTACCCGCCACCCGGCTTCCTGATTGCCTGGGAAGCCGGCTCCATGTTGTTTGGCCGGCTCGATTGGCTGGGAAGCCAGTTTCCCGGGCCAATCACAATCAGCATCGAGCCGGCGCAGCAAGTAATGACCCGCCCCCCAGCTTCCTGATTTGCCAGAAAGCCGGTTTCCCAGCCAATCAGCAAGGAGCTAGCTGTTCGGCTGGCTCCATGCTCATTGGCCGGGTGAGCTAGCTGTTCGGCTGGCTCCATGCTCATTGGCCGGGAAGCCGGCTTCCCAGCCAATCAGGAAGCCAGGAGGCGGGTCATTACTTGCCACCTGGCTTCCTGATTGCCCGGGAAGCCGGCTCCATGTTCCCCTACGGCACTGTCGGTCAGAGGAAAATTTTCCTCTGACTGGAAGTTCCGGTCTCAGGGAATGAATCAGAGCATTTGGGCGAGGACGAGTACTCGCCCAAATACTTGATATTGGTGCATTCCTACTAGTTACGTCTAATTGTATACCTTCAGCGCTCTTTTTTATTCTTACTAATTACATTTTTATTTTTTTTTAAGTCTTTTTTTTAAGTCAGCAAAAGGGTACCGAAATCTGTGTAAAAAGCAACACCACAATGTTTACAAAACCAGCACAATCTTATGTGTATTTCTTTTAATGGAATGGTAAGTATGAATGGTGTGACCCCAAACATATTTGCAATTCACAAATTAAAATTAATTCAGATAATAATTAGATAAACTCTATATATATTAATATCTCATTCATATATTAAACAAAACATTTAAATTATACAAATAAAATTTCAAAACCAATATCTATTTTTGTAATAATGAACATTTACCCTGTTGATCTTTAAAACATTTAAAAGAAATTAAATTGTTCTAAAAATTAAATACAGATTTATTATTGCGACTCAATCTTGAAAATATTCAATCTGTGATGATTATTATCACTAATTTTCACTTGCTATTTTTACAGTATATTTCACAGAATGTTATTTTTTTCCAGCGTCATTTCCTTTAGGTTATATATTTTTAATTTGTCTAAAGGTGCAAATAGAAAAAAAAATGGAATGGAAAATCTTTGCTAAAACTGGATAATATTTTAAAATTGGAAATTAACATTTTGCATTTTTATATACATAAATGTGTTGATGCTTTGAATTTATTAAAACAGAACTCCGGGGGAAAAAAATTCTTAACCCTTGCAGTGAGGTTACCCCTGCAATACAAGAGTTATGTGCTCTTTGGTGTTTAGGTTAAAAAAAAAGAAAAGTTATACTCCCCTGATTCTGACAACTCTTAGACCGATCCCTTCAGCCTTGTACCCCTCCGCAGCAGTGGTTAAAGTATCCTCGAGTCATCATGTCCAATACACTGTGTATAGGGCGTGAGGACGCCGAGGGACATAGTTTGAGGGTTCAGGTGATTATAACCATTTTATTTTCCTCCCCAGACATAAACGAGCACTTAACCATTGCGCTGTGGGAGTAGCCCCACTGCAAGGGTTAAGATTTTTTTCCCCCAAGACTTCTTTAAACATATTAGCTCATTCCAACCTTTACACACTTTAATCAGCTGGTAGTGTGTTGCACGCAGGATATGCAGGATACACCGCAAAGAGCATTTGGTGGCCACACAGTCTGAGATTTGTCAACTTAGTCAATAATGATGATTCTCACAGCATGTAATATACACAATATGGCCGAAGTATGTGGACACCTGACCACCACACCTACACTATAGCCAAAAGTACATGGACATCCCTCCAAATGATTAAGTTCAGGTAATTAATTTTTCCTGAAGGGTATTGTTAATGCTACAGCATAAAAAGACAATTTAAATAGATTGTGTAGCAACAGTTCAGTGAAGACCCTTTTTAAGCTCCAGCATGACTGTGCCCCTGTGCTCAAAGCCAGCTCCATAAACACATGGGGCGACGTGTTTTGTGTGGAGGAAAACAAGCACAGAGCCCTGACCTCAATCCTACTGGGCACCTTTTGAACACATACGGAGAGCTAAGGGCCCATTCAAACCATATGTGTTGGGCTGCGTTGGGCAACTTTCCTTAACATAGAATGAAACCTTTTTTTTGCATACATCTACTGTTAGCAAGCAGTAGACATGTGCAAAAACATAAAAAATAAATAGAAAAAAGTTAACAAAAATAGATAAAAACTTACCTGTGTCTCCAACGCTCACTCCCGTCCAAAGATCTGAAGATTCTCAAACGGCCAAGAAGGATCATGGGGCGGCGCATGTGCAGTAGACATCTTTGCCCGGGAGAAAAGGAGAGACACAGTGTAAGTCAATGCACGCAGCCCGGCAGCGTGCACCCGCACAGACTTTGTGGGACACAGAAGACAGTGCTGGATCAGAGACCAACACCAACACTGAAGGGACTCCTGATAACTACTGGAAAGAAGAAGATGATCGGATCAAGAGGCATCATTTAAGGCAAGCCCTTAAAGCAGATTTGGGAAGTGGGGTGTGACTTTAATGTCACTTTTAGTTCTATTGTCCATCACAACGTGCTGCAGTGCACAGAAATAAACGAAATGTAATTCCTGTGGTCATCAATGCAGTGCCTTGTAAAAAGGCATCACATCGCCCCCTCACAATACACACCAACCTCTTGGTCTTGGTAAATTTTTAACACAGATGTATCATGAAACAAAGACTGTCCCTCAAGATACCATGTACACCCCATTCCCTGCAAGTCATAAAAAGAGAAGTCTAAAATACAGAATCCGCTAGACATCTAGTCACATGATCTCTGCCCAACAGATCAGAACTCTGTTCTTCCTCTTCAGCACATATCATTCGACCAAACGCTTACAAATGTCAGATCCCAGAGCAGAGAAGGCATGTATTAAAGGACATCTGTTTATGACTTTAGGGGTGAGGCCATGGTGCTTGGTGTATTTGAGGACAGGCTTCCTTTAGGTTCACCCTTGCCAAAGCATTATCTAACTTGTGTCTGTATTTGGTCTAAATCATTGCTGGTTTTTTTTTTTTACTAGGGAAGTCAGTCATAATATTTGAATACTTTCTGTTGTAACAAGTTTGTCCTGTATTTTGCCTAGTAATGTCCTATTACTTTAGCCAGATATATTGAACGTGCAGGACTAGGGAGCAATTAGAAGGTAGCCAACAGTAAGTCATTTGCTATGCATCTTTTAGCTTTTGATGCTACTCAATTTTATAGACTCCAGTTGGTGGCACAAGATGGCAGGAGGGGAGCTGCCAGAATAAATTACAAATGTTAAGTATCCCTAGCCCTGCCGGGGTAACATACACATAACATGGAAGCACAGAGAGGTAGAGTAGATCCTAAACATGCCATTTTCAAACTGCACTATATGACCAAAAATTTGGACATTTGACTTTAGGTGTTACCAACAAATGGTAGTGTTATAGGAGAACTATGAGGTGAGCGATTTTCACTCATCCTCATAGTTAGAGCCGACGTGTGACAATAAAACTGTCACACGTCGGCTGTATTGATCAGGAAGTGAGCCAACACATACCATTGCTCGCTCACTTCCCAATCATCTCCCTGCAGAGAGCGGTGGCTGCAGGGAAGCTCACTATATACTGAGCTCTGGGTAACGGGAGGAGGGTAGTATATGTCCTCCTGTGACCCTAAAGAGAACTAAGGGATACATGGTAACCCTACAGTTCTCTTTTAATGCTGCAGCATACAAAGACAATTTATACAATGGTGCCCCTCCAACCTTGTGCCAGCATGACTGTGCCGCTTGCACAAAGCCAGCTCCATAAAGGCACTGTGTGACATGTTTGGTGTGCAGGAATTTGAGTTGCCTGCACAGAACCATGACCTGAACGCTACTGAGCACCTGTGGGATCATTCAGAACCGATTGTGAGCGAGCTAGGTCTTCTCATCCAACAGCAGTACCTGACATCACAAACGTTCTTTCGGCTAAATGGGAACACATTCCTATAGGCAAAATCTTAGGGAAGCCTTCCTAGAAAAGTGGAGGCTGTTATAGACCACAAGTTGGGGCAACTACATATTAATGACTATGATTTTAGAATGGGATATCCAATAATATAGTGTGATGGTCAGGTGTCCACAGACTGTTGGCCATTAAGTGTATACTCCCTCATCACAAGAAGCACCCTAGCATCTACCATCCATGCCCTCCTCCTGCACATCATTACACTTACTCACAAGTGCCCTAAAGAATGAAAAGAAAATTCTAATAAAAGTACTAATATGTACATTGATGTATAAAGGATAAATGTCTATGATCTCTTATGGTATGTGTTTTTCCACACTCCTTCACTCAAGCACTGTAAGGCATCAAATATTGAGCAGTGAGTTGAACAAGCCTTTAAATTAAAGGCATTAAGGATTGTGCAATGTAACGAGATTACATCAGCCATATATCAATACAGATTTCTTTATACCACCCTCAACCTCGAAAGCTGTGCGAGATATTTGAGGCATCACAGTATACTTGCCAACACTCTTAGAACATGTGAAACACAACTAGCTCACACTCTGCGCACAAATGACAAAACTCTGCCTAGATACACCTAAACACCATCAAGACCCCATGTCCTTTTCAGTCCCAGACCCACCCTAACCGAATCCTGGCAGTCTAGAACTGTTGGCAAGTATTTGTTAGTACTGTACATTGCTCAGTATCCTAGATAAAAACAAAGTCTACACCAAAGGCCTAAAAAATGTTCTCAGTAAAATATTCCATTGGTATACTGTTGGTGTATTATCATAAATATTTTTATGAAAAAAAGACACCCCCTTTAAAGCCCAACCGTTCATTCTACCATCTGTCCTTATGGAATACTTCCTTCTGTGCAATATCCTTTGGGTGCTCAGAAATACAAGCCCCGTTGATGTCACTGAGTTTATTGTCAGGTATTTCTTCCTGGCTAGTACATAATTTAAGTGCCCTGGTAATAAAAACATCCAGATTAAAAGAGGAATCAGCATCCTTGTTGATAGAGCTCTGGTCCTCCTGATGAGGACAAGGTTGATGTTCTTCTTGCATCTCAGAAACAGGACTCGGTGGACATTCAAGTCCAACTTGGGTGCTCTTCACCCACTGAGCTATCTCCAGAAACAGATTGGATGGCTCTTCTCCCAAGGCAATATCTCCTGCAGGTGGTATAGTAGTCTTTTTCCAATTGGAAAGATCCAAAATAAGTTTAGGTTCAGAGTAATGGTGGGGCTTGTTGTCTCTCCATAGTAACTTATCGAGGTAGGAGGGTGAGCCTACTTTGTATTCACACGACCTTCCACAATCCCCCTCAAAAACCCGATCCATAGAGGAGTGTGACTGTTCAAGGAATCTTTCCGAGCTACTTTGAGAGTACTTGCGGGGGTCAACTTGAGCTTCTTCAGCAAGTGACCCTGATCCAGCACGTGGGTCCCGCTGAACATCACTCATGGCGTGGCTATGGCCTTGTCTCCAATCCTGGTCAGAAGACATACTCACTTGATATCTGCAAAAAAAGGATAGAAAACGTATACATGGGTAAAACAAAACAAAAGTATCACAACGCTTGGTTAGAAAAAAGCAATTACTACAGTCAATAGAGTAGAGGGAAGTCTTAGGCCCAAAAGCTGGTAGAAGTACAGAAAAATTAGGACCCACACTAAGTACTTTTTATGCCACTATGCCTTTTCCAGGTAAAGCTGCCCCCAGTTTTTATATCTTGCTGTAATACTGGATATTGGTTAACTACTATACACAAAATGGAAAGAAAAAAAAAATAGATACACTTTTAGAATATATTGTAACTCCCAATATTGTAAAATCTAAAACTGGATCTAATTAAATGCAACAGCAATTTCTAATACCACACGTGGCATTATAGGACATAGAAAAAGCAAGGGGTATGTAGAAGGAAGGATTTAGCTTGGCCCCTTATGCCTGTCCAGAAAGTTCAAATCTTGATTACTCCACAGTCATAGATGTCCACCGAAGTGAGTAATACTTACTTCACTGTCAGATACTCACAGAAGTTAGTAATACTGATGCTACAGTCATAGATGCCCACAAAAGTGAGTAATACTTACTCCACAGTCATAGATGCCCACAGAAGTGAGTAATACTTACTCCACAGTCATATATGCCCACAGAAGTGAGTAATACTTACTCCAAAGTCATAGATGCCCACAGAAGTGAGTAATACCTACTCCACAGTCATAGATGCCCACAGAAGTGAGTAATACTTACTCCACAGTCATAGATGCCCACAGAAGTGAGTAATACTTACTCCACAGTCATAGATGCCCACAGAAGTGAGTAATACTTACTCCACAGTCATAGATGCCCACAGAAGTGAGTAATACTTACTCCACAGTCATAGATGACCACAGAAGTGAGTAATACTTACTCCACAGTCATATATTCGCCCGCAGAAGTGAGTAATACTTACTCCACAGTCATAGATGCCCACAGAAGTGAGTAATACTTATTCCACAGTCATAGATGCCCACAGAAGTGAGTAATACTTATTCCACAGTCATAGATGCCCACAGAAGTGAGACAAGTTTGCCTGTTTATGCGATAGCCAGCTAAAAGACAAGCCTGAGGGTGATCAGATCCTGCCATAGTGGCCTTGTTTGTCTACACCAGTCTGCAATTATAGTTCCAGAAATTAAACATTTTCACCAGATTTCCAGTGTCCAAATTGTGTCATCCCTATTCACTACATAATGGATAAATGTTAGCTATATCCCAGGAGGACTTGGGCATATGCATCAGTGATGTCATCACTTGGAGATGTTAAATCTGCCAATTATTATAAAGACTGCACTACTGACATAGCCATCATTCAAACGTAGAGTTCACTAGATGCCGTTCGGCTCCGTTGTCACCGGGTCTAGTTTCTATGCTATATTTCTCTTTAATCTCTCCGGCCGATACGCCCAAACTTTTGTACATGAGCAAATGGGAGCCTGATTTGGGGGGAGTCCCCGGACATGGCTGAATGGGGGAAGATCTGGTCGGCAGTTGCCACATGTTCATCCAATGTTTTGGCTCAGGAGAATGCGCATATGCTAATGTTTTGTTGGTATCTGACACATGATAGAATCAGTAATTTTGCCCTTATGTTTTCAGGGCTATATAGCCCATGGTTCGCTTCTTCCTATATGGTGGCAGGGCCCGAAGGTTTGTAAGCTCTGGATACGGGTGTACAATCTAATTAGGTCGGTTCTGTCCTGCACCTTGGTTCGCAATCCCTGGGAAGCACTCCTCAACTGGCCCGTCTCGCAGCTCTCTAAAACAAGTAGACGACTGACCAGCTTTATTTTTTGGCTGCCCGCCAAACCATAGCTAAAGCCTGGGAACAATGTATAATGTCATTTGGGGAGGTTGAACGAATGGTCATGGGCATCGTGGTGCATGAGAAGCTTTTAGCTGTACTGAATGACTCCCACCTCAAAATATGGTCTCCATGGATGGACTATAATCGCCATCTGAATTTAGGCCATTCCCTGCTTTTACTTTAAAGACTGAAGCGATATGTGAGGTTTTGAGTCCTGATCGCTCTCCGCATGTTTCCCTCCATTGTCTCTCTTTTCGCTAACCTTCTAGTCTGTTTCTTAATGTTTTGGCATTGTATCTCTTCTTTCCCGTGTCCCCCTTCCCTCCCCCTTGTTTTTTTATTCCTCTCTCCCTCTTTTTCTGAGTTTGGCGCAAGTTGAGTGTGACCCTCCTTGCGTTCTAACACCATAAGTACTATAAATACGAGCTTAATTTCCTTGGGAAGGTCATGTTTTTCCCCTGGGTCGGGGTTGGGTTGTTCCCTTCTGTGAGGGGGTGGCCAGGACCGACCTCGGGGACATCCCCTGTTTCCTCCCCCCGTATCCGGTATGTTATGCTTATCATTCTGTTGCGCTGGCCTTCTCTTTTTCTTATGATTTGTTGTTGCCTATGGAAAATACTTATTGGTCTTTTTTTTATGATCTGCCTCTCTTTTGAAGTGTTATCGTCTGTTTCAGTTCATTATACTGTTTTTTCTTTCTCATAAAACAAATACAAAAAACTCTTTGTACACAAATGTAGAGTTCATCCTAACAACCCAAAATGCAGCCCATCGGATTTTTGTAGGAATTGGTCCTCAAAGGAGATTGTGTCAAACTTCTTTACTAGATTTTTCGTTTAAAGTTGATTTAGGATAATACATCTATCACTTGCTCACAGATGCTTGGATATACCCAGGTTAATTGGATGCCCGTGCCCTGCAGTAAACAAAAGACCATATGGCCAAATTCTAATGAATTCTAATGAATTTATCCAACGTGCTCCAAAGAGCCTCAGAAGCTTTCAAATGACACATTGGGGTCACTGTGCGTTTTGAAGGGGACTGATTGGAAATGCAAATTCCATTGCCAAGTGTCACATTTGGGCACACTATGTTAATAGACACCAGTGACCAGGCTAGCTTGCTCTTCCTTAATACCAGTCACTTTACTTTACCTACAAAACCTAAACCTTTTTATCTATAACATATTTACTGTGTGTTATTAATTGACCAAACTTATAAAATTACTTCTGTTTTGTAGTGAAGTAATATATAGCAGTGCGTATAAATATATAAATCTACCCAAATATATAAATTTATGTTTATGTGCGTTGTGAAAATCCAGACAACCTCAGTACTTTTCCAGAGTAGCGTTTAATTCAACAAATGCAGATGAACAGGAACAGTCCAACAGAGTAATACAGAGTAATAATAAAATAAAGTAAAATAATGAAGATTCCCAGTGAGTACCCTTCTCTATACCATCTCTCTCGCCCTCTTTCTCTCTCTCTCTTCCTCTCTCTCCCTATTTCAGTCTCTCCTTGATATACTCATTTTCCTCATTCACTAAAATGTGGAAGAAGCTGATTGGTTGACCAGAGAAAAACCTTTGATCTTGTTGTTACCAAACAGATTCTTCATTCCCATCTACCCTGTAACAATTGCATCTCCTTTGAAATGCTTTCAGCTGTCCTCTGTCCTATTGTTTGACACCACTTGCATTGTTTTTATGTAATCACAAATACAAGACTCTGCTGGTGCCACCAAGCATCTTATCAATGCCATTAACATATGCCTCTCCCTTATTGTTTGTGGGGGGAGAGTTTGTTATTTAGTTAAGCATACACCCGAAATATACCCCATAATACTTCTACTTCAAATCATAATTTACAACATGTTTCACTGTTCTATGTCCAAGTGGCCTTGGACAGTTTATTACATTAGACTGGGCAGTTTTAAAGGACTGCCACAATCACCCTTACCGAAATGTAACTGCTAGGCAAACATCGGAGTCCATTCATAAGGCAGCACATTTATAAAGTACAGAAGTATGATGGAGAAAAAAAAAAAAAGCTGGTCACATGTCATATTGTGTCCAATCACAGAGTTCGCAATCCCATTATAACTCAGCCCCTTAGTCTACCACAGTGCAGGTCTTACCTGTCCCAGTTAGACAGCTGGCTCTGACTGGCCTCCATCAGTAAGATGTCGTCGATCTCGTCCTCTATCCGGAAGGGATGTAGCGATATGGGCTCATCCTCTGGACAGGAATAGGGACCCATATAAGAGTGCTGTAAAGCCACTTCAGCTATTAGCCGGTCCATGGGGTTGAAGGTCAGGATTTTCTCCAAAAAATCGATAGCTGGGGATAAGAAACAATGCTAACTTCATGCTGATGAATAAGGAGGCACTGCTTCAAAACACAGTCTCATTTATTTAAAGGGTATCTAGAACTTAATTTTATGATAAAATGGTGAATGGTTAGAAGCTCTGTCAGTTTTTATTGCGGGCTCAGTCCTTGTTGGGGAGATTTACCCTCTCCATTTGTCTTGGTGACCATTGGTGACCAAAGCAATGTGAAAATTCAAAATGTCTTTGGAACAGGAGGTAAGAAGACATCTTCCAATGGGGACATCTATTCCAGTGACAACTGTCTGACAAGAGATTATTCCTCATTTGAAGAGATTTTCTTTTACTTCCTATTGTGTCTCCAGGTCAGAAAATAAGGGGAAATCTCCTCAACTGACAAGGAGAGGAAGACATGGGTTTTAACTATTACCTACCCCATCCAAAATTAAAAAGTATTGACGCCATATATTTATACCACATAACTTAATTCTCAAGCTAATATTTCTGGTTAAGAGCAGCCACCCCAAGGGTAGCAAAGTACCTTTAATACTGCTAAAAAATATCTTCTGTGCTCCTGGAGAGTCCAGCGACCCCATAAACCAATGGAGTGTGGGGTGGCAGGGGGTGGTGTTAGAAGCCAATAACAGCTTTTATTCATTTATAGGTTTAGGTTAAAGCTGAAGTCACTGCCTCTGATCCATGTGTGTGGCTGGGCTCCTCATGGGCACAGAGTAGGATTCATCACTGGAAATGGTGGATACTTAAAGGGATGATACAAATATTATGGAGGTTGTGTCACTATTTGCATAGTAGACTGTGCTGTCACAACAGTTGTATAAAATACAACAATTCATAGTCATACCGGTAGTTGATATTCACATTAATGTGAAATGAGAATTTATAGTTTATTTTCCTGAAGCCATTTGCTCATTGATATTGTATGGCCAACTCATATACTGACATCTTGTGGTCATTCTGGCTATTGCACTATGTGTATTCCCTCCCCTCTATGATGTATTTCCCCTTTCTTTAGGAGACCAGTTGTTTCTAGTGTCATGGCCGACAGTAACATGACCACATGTTAATCTACATTGCATGCTTGGAAACATTACTATCTCCGACCTTCAAATACCATCTATTCATTCATTTGCGTATCCTGCTGTCTGCTGTAACCTGCTGCACGAATAAAGCACTTTGTGGATGAAAGGGTATTTGGTGAGTTCAGCTATCTGATCAGGATTGTCCGCAGTGATTACATCTGCTTATACAAGCCAGGCATAGAGGTCTCAGCAAGGGATAAATCGCTAATACAACAAATCGGAGTCAGAATATAGACAATTCTAATGGTTTAGTATACAATATACATACACACATAGATTTTTCTCATTCCGCCTGGGGGCTGAACGAAAGAAATCTAAAAAGATTGCTCTATCCACGCTGAACAGCGCAGATGTATGAATCTCCCCTACAGGACGCAGTCACTGTTCGGCCAACTATTTTGCACCCGGCTCCTTTAACCAGTTGCCGTCCGCCCGTAGTAGAAAAACGGACGGACGGCACTGTCGCATTAGCGGGCACGCACGGGCAGAAAAGACCCGTCCAATGCGAACACCCGGTACCGGGTGTTTCACATATAGGCGATCAGCGGGTCCATAGCCCG